CCGATTGAGCAGCATGACTCACTGTGTAAACATGGGGAATAGTCGAGTAGACAACATGCACCACTTAGGCCGTTGACGCTGACGTATAGTCATAGTGATGATGTAATCCCAGTGTAGACGCAGGCGCTGAGGGTGGTGGGGGGGGGGGGTATTGTGGTAGTGACATAAGATCAAAGACCTTATGGGTTGATGACATTGTGCATCTTCTGGGCTGAACGTATCAATGCCCTGTTTGTGAGTAGGATGTCAGTGGTGCTTTCCCGGTGAGCCCATGTTCCCAGTAGATGTGGATAGGTTCACAAAGAGTGACACTTAATTTCCCCTCTGTCATAATGGGCACAGTGTCTGCCGCATGCATAATTAATCGATCACTGTTTTCCGCATCGATAACAACACGATCCCGGGGTCCTCACCTTGTCTTTGAATGGCGAGTGCATTCACTTCGCCGCTCGTCATTAACTGTGAGACATGTGACACACTCAGCACGAGAGAGAGAAACAGCGGTAGAGATGCAGATCCTGTGTGTTTCACGATGACTTGATACCACAAGCGTCACGTGAAGGTTTGCAACCATTACACTTCTCTTAGATTCCGAGTTGCAGGTTAAAATGGGGATAGAAAAGCTCCCACATAATTCCAACTTTGGAAAAAGACACAATCATGGGTTGTAGCAAAATCCTCACTCGATAAGAAGAGGTCACAATGCAAGAAATAGAAAAGGGTGAGATGTGTTGAACCACACCAGCAAAGAGAAGATCTATTCGCTCTATTTTTAACTCAGAATCTTAATGAAACATCCCCCTAGCGCCCATAAGCCCCCCCCTTCAATGAATTCATTGAGTTGAAACAGATTTAGGCAGCAGAATGAAAAATGGTGCATAGAAATGACAGACTTGGTTCAGAGATTAATATTACAGTGGAAGAAGTGATGATCTAATACTGAACCCTCCACAGTCCGCACAGTACACTGAGGATGAGAGCGATGAGCACTGCTGCCAAAGTATGGAAACTGATTACTCTAATCTCAAAGACAAAGGGCTCCGGATCTGTAATTAACTTAACTTTAAGATGGATGCAGTATAATAACAGACACTTTTTTATCATCTGCAACTTTGAATCATCAATTTGGTTGTGCCTAGTTTTCAAATGTAACTTCATGCATGGACCATTTGTTTTTTTTTGTTCATCAGAACCGACTGATTCCATGTTTTTCATATCGTGTTATCATTTAAGTTCATATAAGATTACTCACCTTGACAAAGCAAGGCGCACTCATCATATAAAACATGCACATGACATACATTAATCATAAATGAACGAGTTTTGCCATGTGCGCGCTTACACCACGTGACCGTTTCAAACAGTCCGGGCTACTGTCCTACAGAAGGGGTGCGGGACAATTTGGGTTTTTTTTGCAACAGTCCGGGGGAGGTGATGAGTGTGTGTTTATCATTGCGCTCAAAGGGGGGGGGGGGGGGGGCTCAGGATCGTGAAGATAGATGATAAACAAATATCTGACAGCAGCAGCAGCAGCAGCAAGCACCGCCGGCGGGTTTCCTCTGCAGAGACGCGGTGAGCTACAGGAGTTCGTCTTTGGCTTTTTTCTTCTTTCTAATTTTTTTTTTTTTAGTACCAGGTTTGACGACCTGCCCGCTGTCCTCGGGAGAGAGCGAGCTGCTGTAATTGGTTTCTCAATGAAGGATCATCAGCGGCTCCCCGGAGGCTCGGCGCACTGTAGCGCAGCGCTGCTGAACCAACCGTCCGCTCCCCGGCGTTAAACACCGCTCCGCCGCCGTTTCCTCCTGAAACAAACCATTTGGAACATCACCTTCCTGCGCGGGGCCAAAAAGGGGGGGATTTGTGTGTTGACAACGTGTGCGAGTCCTGGGAGATTACTTTGGTTTTGGTTGGGTTTTCGGGGGGGGAGGGGGGGCGGGCACGTATCGCGGAGAATCGTGCAGGCAAAGTTTAACGTCAGATTTCGACATGAGTGACCTGGAGGAAGACTTTGCCAAGATCCTGGTGCTAAAGGAGGAGAGGATACGGGACTTGGAGAGGCGTTTGGCGGACAGGGAGGACGAGATTCAAGAGCTGAAGAGGAAATTGCACAAATGTCAGTCCGTCTTGCCCAGCGCTCAACTTCTTGGACCGAGGACCCGCAGGGCGCAGGGCATCTCCGCGGAGCCTCAGACGCACCAGGACCTGTCCCGGCAGGCGTTCCGGAAATACGCCAAGTCCGACTGGTAAGAGCCGTGTGCCTCATTACGTGTGCCTCATTATCATTACTGCTCAGTGACGCCCGTGTGCCAACTTGTGTGTGTCCAGATTCTCAAAAATATCTCCTCTTTCTTCACGATCGTAATCCAAATGTTTTCGCATGGGATCGTGCGACCTGGAGCATCAACTGTTCTGTCACAAAAAAAGTAATGCGCTTTAACAATACATGTGTTGATGTTAACTACACGCACACACACGGGCTCGTGGGTTCGTGTGTACTTCCACGTCATTTCGCCACTAAGCTTGTCTTTCTTTCTACCTTTACCCCCCCACCCCCCCATCCGCCCTGCTGCCCCTTTCTTTAATGGGAGCTGGAGACGTTTGCAATGAATGGACGAGCACTTTCATTCTTGGAGGCCGATGACGCAGCTCTAAGGCGCGCTCCAGAAAGAGCTCCTAATTGATCAGATCCATCAAGGCGGTCTCACAGGACGCCGCCAAGAGGAAGTGCGATGCATTATTGGCTTTTAGTAGCTGGACGCTGAGGACCCAAAGTGCATGTCTGAGGATATTTAATACTCCATTAGAAAACGCTTTGTTTGACCATATGCCTCCTTCATCACCTTTAGGTGCTCGTTTTAGCTTCACGATATGGTTTGTGCTGATTGTGAGGCCTTCGAATCAGACATGGACCAGTTAATATCTCCTACTTTTGACTTGCTGTAATACCAGTTAAGAGTTTGACCCCCTCTGTCTTCAATTTCTTCTTATCCCCATACCTATAATAATCTCATAAAAAATAATTACTTACTATATTAATGGCACACACACACGCAAACACAGGCAAAAAGCTGACTCAATTAATGCAATAGACAATGGGGTTAATTTGATTAAAATGGTAAATTTGCAGTCTTCATTTATATTATTAAGCCGCTGACAGGGCAAGTTCCTAATTTAAACTCATTATAACTGGGACTCAGCATAATCAGTCCCGAGGAAAGAAAAATCAATTTAGTGCGCCTAAGAATGAAGTACGGATTTTGTGAATGAAACAATGTCTAACATTCAAAGAACACTTATCAAATATTCTAAACCTTTCTACAGGACTGGGGTTTGTTCTGAAAATGGCAAAATTGTACCCAGCTGATGAAGCACAATAAGTGCCTGACTGGACCTTCGTGGATAATTGCATATGGCTGCAGACACTGTGCACTGAAACGGAAGTGAACTGTTACATTTGTAGTGACATGATACGCTCATGTCACAGCGTGTCTGGAGGACTGAGGGTGACGGTGTCCGCCTGCGCTCCCGTGCCCGCTGGGCCGCTGTGGGGTTGGAGACAGTGTGACCCCATTAGAGACAGGCACGTGGCACCAGCCGGCGTCCCGCCCCGCTCATCGGATTACCACAGCATGGAGCGAAGGATCCTGTTTCTATTGATCTGCATAGGAAAAGGGCCGAGCTAAATGCTTAGAGAGGTGAAATTTAAAGCGCAGAGGTGCTTTGAAGGACAGTGGGAGGGCCTCTTTATGATGGGAGGATGAGGGGATGTGACCCTGGACTGGAGAGAGCCTGAAGTCTAGCTTTTTACTCTAATGACTCAAACAGACAATGTTGAACAGGTTTGCCCCACAGTTTATTTATATCATCCACCAGCAGTATTACCCGGAAGTGGTTAAGCATTCTTTGCTTCCATGTGCTTTAGTTTTAAAGACCCAGGACCATCGTGCATGTCGGTAGTTGCACTGGAAGAATGACTTATTACATGCTACCTATTTCACCCACTAAGGCCATGAGACACATAACATATGATGAATTAAGTGTTGGCCATTCTTTACAGAGAACAGTGGCACCGTGCCACCTTGTTTTGGTTCGCTTGCGTCGATGCTTAATCCCACCACAAGAGGGCAGCTGCGATCTATTATTATAACACCGCCGCAGGGTCGTTAACGCGCTTTCTTTTTGTTAGGAGGAAAAAGATGCTGTGCAACCCCCCCCCCCCCCCCCCCAAACAAAAAAACGTATCTTAACAAACCAAAAAAATGTCTTTTGCTCTCCGTTTCGGTCCTCGCAGTCGGGGCTGCTACAACTTTCCAACAAATCTCACCCTTTCGCAGTGTCCCTTGGCGGGTTTCTCTTCCGTCGGAATTGGTCCAGAGCGCTGAGGCTGAAAGCTGTTCCATTTGGATAATTTAGACAGACAACGCAAAGAAGCTTAAATGGATCTTCGGCATATTCTGTATTTATTTCTGCTGCTATCGACCCCCCCTCCTCAAATGAATAGATGACAGGAATCCCCCCGCTTTAAAATACACTGTATGCCAAAAGCATCATTTGGGTTCGAATATAGAACATTTCCGTTCATGTAGACAAAACACACAGGTAGTCCGACACAATACACAGTCTCCTTCCCCCATGTAATGGAAGAAAGATAATACACAACTCCTGCTTGTTTATTGTAACACCGAGGGTCATTAAGTTTCCATCACCTTCAACTTCCATTAAGGCTCCGGTGCTCGTCTATTTGGCGGCCAGAGGGGGATGGAGGGGGTGGGGGGGGCAATCTGCTGAAGCATGATGGCATCGTTCTCCGTGCATTGGCGTTTCTCACCGAGTTCATTATTCACGTGAGAGGGAGCGCGCGACCCTCTCCGGAGCGACCGGCTGCACTGTGCCACGGATTCCTGCAGGCGCCCTCCGCGCCATGCGCTCTCTCCCCGGGTCCTGACGCACTCGCAGAGGACGGTCCTCCGCTGTCACCCCGCCGTATAGGGAGGGAGGAGAGAGGGAGGAGAGAGCGAGAGAAACAGAGAGGGAGAGAGCGAGAGAGAGAGGAAGAGAGAGAGAGAGGGCAAACTTTACGCGGTAGTGGTTGAGGCGCTTTACGGGCTCACCTTGGTCAACCACCGAACGAACATACCTTCGATCCCATTCCCCAAATCCACAAGTGACAGACAGCGGCGAGGACACCCCCCCCCCCCCTCTCCTCACCCCGCCTCGCTCCCCAAACCACCCGCCAGCCGGAGAGACGCGGGCTGCATCCTCTTAAGCCGTTCATGCCGGATAAAGTTCATGACCAACGTGGTAGAGGAGAGGGGACAACGGCTGGACGGCACACACCTTTCGATAAACTTATCGGGAAGTCGCTCGTCGCCGTCTGAAATGGGCACCTTGCGTGACCTCCAGTACGCGCTCCAGGAGAAGATCGAGGAGCTGCGGCAGAGGGACGCGCTCATCGACGAGCTGGAACTGGAGCTCGACCAGAAAGACGAGCTCATACAGAGACTGCAGACCGAGCTGGACAAATACCGCTCCGTTATCAAACCGGCAACCCAGGTCGTCAAGCAGAACGATCTGCACGAGCAGCAGAGGACGAAGAGGCAGGCGATTTCGGCCGAACCCACAGCCTTCGACATCCAGGATCTTAGCCATGTCACCCTACCTTTCTACCCCAAAAGCCCACAGTAGGTGTCCTAATTATACAAAAAACATATTGCTCATGATGATGTTTTTTTTACGCTATAGCTCCGGTGTGACTTTTATTTGTTACCACGTTGCCTTTCCGATTGCTGCGCGTAATGTCACGTGTGGCGCAGCAGGTACGACACCTGTAGCCGCTATGAATGAGGAGGTGCTCTTTAACACACACACACACACACATGCACACGCGCACTCACAAACGCACGGACGTTTGATATGATATGGTGCCGTCAACTATGAAAATTAGGGAAACGATGTCAGGAAACTGTCTCTATGGCGACACAGACTTATCAATAGAATTATCAGCAGTTGGCTGATAAAAGGCTGGATACGCCTGATCTCAGTTTGGCTTCCGAGAATAAGACATTTCCATCCGGTGATGGGACTCTGTACAGAGCTGGTGACTTCTGCCTCGTCTGATTTACTAGTGTCATTGTATACAAGCAGTGAGCCTGTGAGAGACTGTCTCAACAGGCCCTCTGTGCATGTTTACCTTATGATTTGCCTACTCCCCCCTCTCTCTCTCTCTTTGCTCTCCCTCTCTCTATCTTTCTTCTTTTAAAACTCTCACCAAAACATCTCTGTCCTGCCCGGCCTCCGTTGGCAACTGCACCCGGTACTGAAATAGCCATATGTTGTGAAAAAGTGCAGCTGCCTGTTGGGTTTGAACTTGAAGGTTGTGTCATTATGAATCGATGCACTTTACCCCCCTGGTGGACACGACAAACGGCTACTCTTCATTCTGTAAGCATGACAAATAGACATTAAAAGGAATTTAGTACTCACATGATTGCTTTAATTTCATCCCATCACATGTCTTTGCCATCATGTTGCTGTCTCCAGACTGAGCGGTGAAAGGCCATTAGTCTTTGTCGTACCTTTCAGCTTGGTCAGTTGGCTAAATAACATGGAAAGCACACTGGTAGCTTGTGTTATGTTATTTGGTCTTTGCCTCACTCTTTTCGTGAGACCTGGGACTCTGTGTAAAAGCAGATAAGGAGAACCAAATGTGAGCATTTCATTATGATACCAAGCTTTTATTGTATATACAGGATTTCATGTGTTTTCCGAAAGAGGCTTTTAGTGAGACCTTGATGGTGTGTTTGTAATCATCAGCCATTTGCAAAAATACAAAATGCTGCATATTGACAGTGATCCATAGCATGATCTATCTGCAATGTACATGGGGATACATGGAGTTTCAATGTAATCAGCTGTTAATTAGAACGGGAAAGGCTGAAATATTAGGTAATGATGGAAATAAAAAGGAAGCGGTTCCTGCAAGGAGGTGGAACTTCAGTCCCTCAATTATCACTTTAATGTTCTGAGCGTCAGCAGGACAGTTACTCTTCTAATTAGCAGAAAAACGAAAAATGATGATGCAAATTACTTAGGCATGTTTTAGCACTGTTCTCCCGTTGGTTAATTACTATGATCACCAGATAGATCTTTAGTAAATTACGCGGGTGCCCTCAAGAAAAAAACATTGCACAAAACTTTGCATTTTCACTTTGTTTTGATTATTGAAGCGCAGCGATATCGTCTGTTGGACTTTGCTATCCATCCATCTTCAAACCGCTTATCCGTCATACAGGGTCGCAGGGGGGGGGGGGGCTAACTTCGGGCGAGAGGACGTGGCTAAATGTTTAGATTTTTCTTTTATTCTCACACACTTTATCTTCTCTTCAAGGCCCACAGGCCATTGCTCACTCATATGCTATCCACCCCTTTCGCTCCGTCCCCCTTTTGTTTTGTTTAGCCTCTCCCCCTTTTCTGCCACCCCTCTTCTTTTTTCCTCCCAAAAGAGCATATTTTCTCCTTTTAAGGAAGGCCGAACTTGCTCAGCCATAAACTTCACAACGGGATGAAGGCGAATACATCATCCTTACAGAGGGGAGGAAGGCAGATGTTTTCATAAGGGTCTGGTTATAAACGTTGCTTAAAGTCGCTATCAGAGGCTTAAGTGGGGGGGTCCAGGCCGGGGTTGAGAAGGTCAAAGATCTCCTTGGAGTAAAGTAACAGAAAGAGGGTCAATGAGGCGTATTTCCAGAGGAGTGGAGGTCAATTTGGGAAAATAATCACTCCCCAAACCAGCAGAGAATCAAATTACCGAATGGTCCTTCTCACCTACACTTACCAGGGGGATTGCTGGGTGGGATTTTGGAATTTTTCAGAAAAGAAACTCTGTGTCAACAAATGTTTAGGACCCTTACCGTTTTGGTTCATTAAGATAATCACAAATGAACAACACGTAAATGATTTGTGAGCCGTTAATGCAATCGGCTGAACTAAGACTTTAACGTGAAGCTATAAGTGAACTACCGCCGCATTACTTTATGTAAACACCACAAAGCTAAAGGAGCATTAGTCGTTGAGTGATGAGGTATTATAGTCACATTTTAAGACAGTTTTTATGCAAGCGTCTCCCTAAAAGCAAAACAAGCCAAACTGCACATTTCTGGGTTTTATATAGCAAGGGTCCGGTGTGTGTTCGGGCTGGGGGGGCAATCTGCCAAGCCGAACTGCAAGCTATAAGATCTGTAGTGTACAAATATATTATAGTACAAAAATGTTTCCAAAAATATTGACTGTAAGCAACAATAGCTGCTAGATATCAGCCGAGTGAAGTCCATCCTGGCCGAGACCTGTTGAGAGCTTCATCATAAGTATCTATATGAAAACAGCAAAGTGGGAAGTATTTAATCATTCAGTAATACAATTTTACCTCAAGCGACAAGAGGCGGTAAAAACACATTTTGACTTTACTTACGTTTTGAACTTAGGTTCAAGGTTGAGCTTTCAACTCCATTGGATACAAATATAATAAACCCTTGCAGACTCGACAGCGTAAGCATTAAAAATGGGCCCCTTTGTATTTCCTCTAGCAATGTTTGTTAATGCAGCTGACAGGAAGTAAACAGCAAGGCCGGGTAATTAAACAGAAGCTGTTGCCCGAGCAACAGAAGGGCTTTCAAAAGGTCAACTCTATAATATATACATATCTCAAACTCCAACACATCCAAATATTTATGTGTTGGGCTAGTTAAGAAGTGCAATCGTTCCTCTAAAGTGGAAACATGAAGTCATTATTAACGTTATACGGATGAGGAGTATATTTTGTGTGTTTTTTGGGGGGGGCATTTGTAAATTATTTTGGGGGATAACATAATTTTTTTTTCATATATAATATTGATTTTAATTTCATAATAAATCTGTAGCAGTTTGGAGCCCATTTGGGGGACCCAGGCATTACAGCAATATTTAGCTGTGAGAAAAACACAAGGGCGTATTTCACCGAGGATATTTCAGTGTGTAGCGTTGACTAGGGTGTGTGATGTTCATATGGCAGGTGTACCGCTCAGGACCTCAGTCCTCGTCTCTTCTGTGCGGAGTCTCGGCTTAAAAAGAAGACGGTTTAAAGGACATAGATTTCGGCAAAGGAATTTAAAAATAGGTTTGCGAAACCTCAGTCTACCTGATCGTAGCTTTCTCTGATGCTCGAGGGGAGAGTAAGCTACCGAGGAGCCACGGGATCATCTGGCTTGCTGCGCTGTCAAAAGTTCAAATAGGTGAAAAGAAGAAAGAGACAGCAGGGGAACAATAACCCAAAGTCGGACAAATGAGTTCCTTGCAGTAAATGCTGAAAAGGCATTTCACAAATGATGGGAAAATCTGGGATAATGACGCTACAACCTGACTTGTGTACAGTGGAATTTACATCGTGAAATTGTAACACTCTAGTGTATGAATATCCAACCAATCCAGTGTTGACACTTGAAACGAATGAGGGCGTACTCTGAGTTTGACACGTAGCTAAAGTTGGCCTTCAGTAACGCCTTCACCCACAAGTATTACTTCTCCCCGGGTGCACAAGCCCAGCTGCCGGCCTCGAAACCCTTTAGCCTGTTGAATACAGAGCACACATGATGAGAATCTTGTTTTTTTTTATGTTATTGAAAGCGCCCTCTGTTGAAACTCAAACCAAAACCAATCACTCAGCTGATGGTGTAAAAAAAAAAAAAGTTCAGATTGGAAGATTCTCGCCGGGATGGAACATTTAAAGGGCATCTACGAGAGCTGCTTTTCAGCACAGCCCTTTGAGTCATGGAGGTTTTTCTTTTGAAGGAGCATCAGTAGCTCTTCACAGATTTGTTAATGCATCTCAAGAGTTGTGGGAGAGATGGCCGTGTGACCTTAAAAATGTTTCATTCCTTAAGGGGAAGTAAGACACTATAAGACTATAAAACATAACCTCAGATCATAAATGTGCAGAAGGGGTTTGCTGAAGTTTGTGTTTCTGCGTGTTTTGTGTTGAACCTTTCATGGCAGCAGGTCAGAGAGGCCGGTGTGTTGTGGGAGCACTGCTTCATAAATGCCTTACGGTTTATTTGCCCTTTTAGCTTTGAGCTCCTCCGGTTATCGGCGTCAACAATGCATCCAGAAATCAGTTTCTGAAAAGGGCACGGAGCACAAAAAGGGAAGGTGGTCTCGAATCCTACAGAGCTTGAGAATGATTTTTAGGTTATACAGGTTTTGCTGTATAGATGATGATGACAACATGAGCAACGGCGAGAACTCACTTTTTGGAGTTGGGTGCGTTTCAGATTTCTCTCGGGTCTCTGGATACGTCTGTGTGCTGGGCCTGGCTCGCCTTCACGTGGACATTTTGAATGGTCAAATGTCTCTTCTCCTTTGATGGCTCATAATTAGCGTCCAACGCCTCGTTCCAAACGCTTATTTTACATAATGTCTCCTTTAAGGCCGCCTGACAAAGTGCTCTCTGCACTGAGCTGCACCTAGGCGACTGCAAGTTTGAATTTAATAACATTTTCTGTTGCCCTTGCATAGCAGCTGGTAGAAAAAAAGACCTGTGGAATGCTCAAATGACTCCACAGTGTGAAGGCCTCCTTGGCTACAGGAGTGCATCCCTGAATCAAATCAACTTGCTTCCATTGAGCATGGATTTAGAAAGCCTATTTAATGGCTTATAACGGCATGTAAAGGGAACAAAAAGGTATCACCTTGACGTCTTTGAAATAAGTATTGGTTTTTAAAAAAAGCGGCAACCCAGTAGAAGGGGAGTTTTAATTTCCTGACAAAATATTACCATGCCTGCCTTTAGAACTGGTCAACGTCCTTCAATAAATCTCAGAGAATATATTATCTCAGGCGAGGTTTTTTCATTGAAAACAATGGCATACTGACCTGTGTTTGCGCAGTGATGGTCTCATTCTGCTTTGCCTCGTCTCCAGGTCCAAAGACCTGATCAAGGAGGCCATCTTGGACAACGACTTCATGAAGAACCTGGAGCTGTCGCAGATTCAAGAGATCGTGGACTGCATGTACCCTGTGGAGTATGGAAAGGACAGCTGCATCATTAAGGAAGGCGATGTGGGCTCGCTGGTCTACGTCATGGAAGGTAAGCGCACAAACGTACCGTGAAATGAAAAGGGTTAATTTTGGGTGAACCGACGTTCAAAACTCTGTGCTCTGGAATTCGCCCATATCACTTAATGTAATATTATTTTATGAGGTGATCTTCTCTTTTTCATTCTCTTTTAGCAGGGTGGAGGTTTTATACTCGCGTTTTTGGATTTTTGAAAAGGAGCCTCAACATGATACAGTGTGAGAGCTCTGTTGACAAGAACAACATTCCATGAGGCCTGGCGCTGATGGGATTTAAGAAAGTGCATTTTTGCTTCACAATTTCTCACAACTGATTCTGCTACAAAAGGTTCAGAGAGCCCTCGTCAATGACAATTGATTTAACTTCAGGGAAAATGCCTCAGTCAATGCTAGCACACTATAACTGATCATCAGTTATACGGTTATTATACACATATAATGTTCATTACTTGGAAATTGACCAACCTAATATAGATTACAATATATACGTATAGAACATCTGAATTACTATTATTGCTCTCTGCCTCTCCAAAATCTTCATTACTTGCATTCACCACTCACATCTAATTGCAAGGACTGTGTAGCAGATCTAAAATGGATTAAAAAGGTTTTACGGTGGAAATCATTTCTTCTACCTTAACAAAATGGCAGAACAAAGAGAGGGAATAGAAAATATAGAAACTGAAACCCATTGGCTTGAATGGCATTTAAAGGTTAATTCTTTACTAAGATGAATGCTGATATTGATCAGTGTCCCGATTGCTTCCTGTTGGCCACCGATTTAATTTAAGTATTGAGTTGGAAAGACAATTCCCAAATGTGGGAAGTTATACACAATATAATGAGAAATTAAATCTACTGAACGAGGATTTTTTTCTTTTCTTCATATGTTCATTTCTATGACAAATCCAGATTTCTATAAATACACTCTGGGCTTTGCTCCGTTCAAGCCGAGGCAGGTAGGATTTGTCACATTTGAAAGAGCTCCAGAGACAGACGGTGCCTGTGTGGGATGCCAACAGAAGTTTTATGGCTGCTTTCTGTCTTCAGCTGGTCTTTAGTGAGTCACAGGGTCTGAATTCAAAGACCTTTTGTGGTGCATCTAAGAACCGTGACTTTAAATGTTGTTGTGTTAGGCAGCCGACTCAATCATTAGGATTGGTAAAGCAGCAGATGTCTTTCTCTCTACTGCCATCGTAAACGACACGTAGAAAGTCTAAGATGCACAAACTAGGCGTTTCATCGGGATGGGCGACAATTACATCGGTGCTTAGCACACCTACGCGGCATTCCTTTCACATCCACCGAAATATAGTTAATAGTTATAAAACTGTTGAATAACGCAAGTAAACACAAATACATGGATTCATTTGTCTAATATAAGATAGTTTCCAGATATACCCTTTAATAACCAAACAGACAATACTTGCCGGCGCGCGCAAATTCAAGCTTAACATAACAAACATGTAAGTGAGGGCTGAAAATAAGTATAAAATCCTAATTTTAATTGGTGTGACAATGTGGTCGTGAAGTTAAAAAGCTTTTGCAGATATTAAAACTCAGGACGACTGGCTTAAAGCCAGCATTTCCACCAACATAAGATGTACTTGAGTTTGAGGCAATGAGCAAATTCTAGCACGGTAAAATGCTTAAATACTGATAGGTGCCGTTTTCTGAAAATGCATTTTGCTATAATATATAATACATGTGGTAACGGTACGTTTACTTCAGTAAGGGATTTGAGTGTTTCTATTCACATCAGTGCTAAACTTGTTAGACTTGTTTCTCTTATCTGTAGACTGCAGAGAGTCAGATATGTAAAGAGTCTTACATAAAACAGGCAACATTCAAATGAAATGCAAAACCAAAGAGCGAATTTGACATATTTGGGGTATTGGGCACTGTAAAAACAAATCAGGGGTTGTGTCTTCAATTCCCTTGCAGCCAATTAATTTCAAAATGTGAGACCACATCCCTGTTTATTGCCTCACTGTGTTCTGTTCTAAAGTTGTGGTTGAAAAGATGAAAAAGTAACACGTTCAGTTTTCCAAGAAAAGCAAAGACAGAAATCGCACATTTGGCCAAAAAAGGTATTTAAAAAAAAAATAATTGCTACCATTTTGTTGGTACTTGATATATTTTAAGCTCTCACTGTTGTTAGAGCTGCTGGAGTCTGTCGTACCAGCGGTAACTCCCCATGCTAGGTCACAAATGAGCAAGCGTCACACTGACACCATGAATACGTGCAACAGAAAGAGAGGAAAACAAGATACAAATCTGTAAGACAAATATTTATTTGAGGGCTTTTTTATTTCGACAGTCTAAAGATACAACTCATTCAAACAAAAGGCTTCAATTCACCAGTGATCATGTGGCACAAATATTAAATGTTTGGTTAATTGATTTCCATTTTCAAATCCTGAAGGGAAGCTTAACGTGTTTATCTGTCAGCCCTCCCCTGCGGCCCCAAAATCGGTTCTGCTCCACTTCCTGTTCTGCATGTCTCTGTCTCTCTCTATCTCTCTCTCTCACTTGTATCCTTGGCCTGCGAGTTTTCCACCTCTGGCCACGATGTGTTTTGCATAAAAAGCAAACGTTAAAAGCATCAGACCAGGGATTGACGACGACTTTGTGTCAACGTTGGTGGAGGCCCGTTGCAGCCTGAGACCTTTTACAATCCACATGGACGGGATGTCGAGCTGCGCCGTGCCATGTGAAACATACAGCTGGGTCTACTCAACACCGTACATCATTTTCCCAGTAGATGAGTTGTTCACTGATCCGCCACTAGTGTCATTTCTTAGTGAGGCTGCGGGGCTGACATCGCTTATCATGTAACCTAATGAAAACTATGCCAATGCAAAAAAAAATTGAATGATTGTATGTTGCATCATTACATCTGCTTTTTTTATGGGCCTTCCTATTTAAACAATGCACAGGATTTAGCTTTTATTGCAGATGCACCTGACACTCAAAGATCAGACAAAACCGGAGCTGAAGCAACGGAGCGGATTCTCTACAATGAGGCCGCCGCCTCCAGGATCGTTTGTTGTACTTTGGTTGCATCCACCGGTCCACTTAAACATACTGATTGCAACTGAGGCTCACTTCTCCATGGAGATGAGAGAGGCGTTTGATTGGATGTGTCGTCCACGAAGACCCGTACAGGTGGCTGATGATAATAACGAGTATAATCACACGCAATTACCATCAAGCAGTGCCAGGACAGTAAAACCCCCTTGATTTCCTTCATAGTCATCACTCAACTTAGCGTAATAACAGCGCGTTTGCTGAGAGGCAGCCGCGGTCGCGGTAGTACACAACAATGGTACAAGAAAGCCTCAGGTGTAACAGAGCCTATTACTGAGGGTTGATATCACGGTACGTTTGGATATCATAGAAAAGCAGAGATGAGGCCAAAATGCAAGTGAACTTAGACATAAACGGAACACAATCAGTTGAATATAATTCTAAGTCAGTCTCCTGTCAGCTGGGTAGTAAAACATAAAAAAGACTCAAGATAAATGGTTTAGTCTTATACACCTAAATAAGCTCATATTTTAATATCACTTTAGGGTTGAGTTATGGTGATTGATCAGCCTGCACTAAAGTTTAGCACTAAGTTTTTTTCACATACTATTTTCATTATTGATTAATTTGCCTATCTACAGTTAATTAATTGATAATATGGGTTTTAAATAGAATAGAGGCCTCAACACATCCAATGTTCTATCAATAAATATTTCCATTTGAGAATCTGGAGCAAGTAACTTCAGGTTTTTTAAAAACAGGTCATCTGAGTTGCTTCAGTTCTTGTCATATCTAAAAATAGGCCATGAGATGGTTGAGCTAAATGTCTGTTTTTAATATGTGAGCAAAGGCTGTACTTCAGTGTCTACATGTAACTGCAGGTTGGAGAGGACAGCTTTACTGCGCAGTTTTTGCTTTATCGTGATAACAGGATGCCTGATGTCTCTCCAAACTGGGTTTAGTTTTGCCAACCATTCATTCACTACTATTCTAACACAGTATGTGAATGAATGGTACACATTCAAACTTTTCTTATTTTGTCTTTTACCCTGTTTGTGAAACAAATACAAGCATTTATAAACAAAAAAATGTTGCCCTAGAGGATGCAGGCATATGCGATATTGGCTCAAAATTATGTATTTTTTCCCACTTCCTACTTTTAGAGGGAATGAGCTGTCTGCCCTCACGTGTTCATAGTTTTAATATGTTTTACCGGGCGGAAAAGTGAGAAGAAGGAGCGTTAATGTTACAGTATGAGTCAGCTCCATATCCCAGGTGTTCACTGTACATTGACAGGTTTTCTGACAGGTTACCATATTCTATGCAACCATTGGTGCGCTGAAGAACATTTCATTCCGTTGAAGGTGTTCAGGGGATTTGAGACGATGCCTCGGATTTGGCACTTTCTCAACACAAATTGGATAGAGTCCCAATTATTTTAGCTGCTCTTAGACAAGGCAAATATAACATTTTGACAGATTTCTTCAACACAACTTCTAGTTTAAGCTTTTATGTCTGAATATGACAGAGAAGAACGTGCTGTTTGGATAACGTCTGAATGACAATGACCGGTGATTCTGAATAACATTGACTAGTGATTCTGAATAACATTGACTAGTGATTCTGAATAACATTGACTGGTGATGTTTGCTCACTGTGACTTGATACTATTTCCTCTCAAGGGGAGGCCTTTGACTCCCTGGCACTCGGTACTTGATTGTGTTGTTGTGAGCGTAGACACCCAAACTATTTGCTTGCGTCTCTAATCCAATAAAAATCTTATTTGGAAATGAGTGGCACATTTGTCTGTTTACATTTTGTTTCATGAGACATTTTATCCTGTTAAAAATCTCTGGTAGCTTCCACTAGCACTTAATCTCATCTGTCACCTTGTACAATACCTTACAGCCTGAGTTATGCAACTATCACTTTTTAATCATGAGCTCCATTATTAAATGTGTGAGTTATTCATCTTTAAAACGA